GTTTTCTTCACCCACTTTCTATACAGGATGGCCTTTGTTCAAGATGAATTTTCTATGGGATTGAAGTTTCATTAATGTGACATTGAAAATCTTAATGTCCAGACCAAGCTCAGCACCTCTGAAAATACATTTTATATTGTTTCTTGTTTTATTAAATGAGAAAGTTATGGGTTTGAGCAGGCAGGTTTATCTTACTGCCTTACTGTTGACATAGACATCAATCCATTTTGAACACGTCAGTTCTAGAAGTCCATTTAGAAGGGTCCTAAGGGGAAATAAGCATGTAAGAGTCAGTATTCATAGATTAATCTGCTCCTTTTATGCAGCCACAGGTGTTTGTTTCGTTGTTTATTTATTTATTTTTGGCTTTCATGTTAATGGCGTGCACATTTTCTAAGTTTCTCCTTCACTGTCAAATATGATACCTGTGTATATATCACTTGGTTAAGGCAAGTGGATACAAATGTAAGAGTTTACTTAGCAAGGATTGGGAAACTTTTTCTGTCAAGGACCAGTTAGTAAATATTTGGGGGTTTGTGGGCCATACAGTCTCTATTGACACTACTCACCTCTGTTTTTGTCTTGTGAAGGCAGCCATAGGCAGTATGAATGTGGCTGTGTTCCAATCTGTTATCCATAAAAACAGGGCTGGCCTGAGGGCTTTAGTTTCCTACCCTTGGCTTAGATCCTTATTTGGAGATGTTCTGTACCAGTCTTTAGCCTTGGCCTTATCCACAAGTGTGATACGATTTCAGGGTCACCAACAGCCTCTTACCCTTAACTTTTATCCTAAAATCTTGTTTCCTACTATTTCTGATGCCTAAAATTCCAACTATGAATATCCTTCCTTTAGGAAAATTCTTATTTATTCAGAAGATGGCTTTTTATTGAAAACCATGGGTAACCTGTAAATATATAAACTGTGATAGACATTTGCTTAAATTTGCTCTAAACAGAAATTTCAGATTTTAAAGGAGCAGGTAATTTTTACTGTGAGGGAGAAAGGAGAGTTCTGTAGCCTGGGCTGAAATAATGGGAATCTCTAAGTATTAAAAAACATGTGCATATAACATGGTGCGGTCATTTAACAACCTGTGAGGACCTGCTGTCTAGGAAGCTAAGCGCTTTGCATATAATCTCTCCTGCCACCAACACCTAAGGTAGAACATACTCTGATCCCCATTGTATAGACAAAGCCTGGATTTAAGAGAGGTTAATATGCTGAGGGATAGCTGGCTAGGAAGTGCCAAGAGTTGTCATTTATACCCTAGTATTTTTGATGCCAGTCTACATTAAGTGGTCAAGTTCAAGGAAAAGCATTTACATGGTTCAACATTGTAGATGGTAAGGCAGGAAAGCACTTGTTTGTATGGAACTATGTGTAATAGGGAAAAACAAACATTTTTCTCTACCAAACTCTCAACACAGAAGAACATTTCTGGGACCAGATGTGTGAGTTTTTCCCACATTGACTAATCTCTGACACTAGCTAGGTATCTTATAATTCAGTTCAATTCTGTCGTTACCTACCTGGAGTTAGAGTCAGAGTCCACAGGCTAAAGAGTCAGTCTTATGGGACTGACTCTGTCACTTGCAAGACCAAGCCTCTGGTACTTCTGATGGACCAGCTATGAACTGGGGGTTCTGAGGACTTCTTGAGTCCCATTGTTTACTAGATTGGCTCTCAGAACACAGGGAAGCACTTTACTTACTACTGCTGATTTATTATAAAGGATATTTTAACTTTTTCATAAAGGATATTTTAAATGATACAAATGAATAGCCAGATGAAGAGGTAAACAAGGTAGGATATGCATGAAGGGGTGACAAGCTTCCCTGCACTCCACAGGTGAGCCACCCTCTAGCACCTCCCTGTGTTTGGTAACCTGTAAGCTCTCCAATCCCTCAGAGTTGAGAAGTTTTTATGGAGGCTTTATTACATAGGGAGGATCCATTATTGTCCTAGAAAATGGAGGTGGAGCTGAAATTTCCAAGCATCTAATCATAGTTTGCTCTTTCTGGCAACCAGCCCGATACAGAAGCCTCCACCAAGACTTATCTTAATAGAACAAAAGACTCTCTTATCTTCCAGAAAATACCGAGGCATTGGGAGCTCTGCATCAGAAATCAGGGTCAAAGTCCAAATGTTGAAACACAAGATTCTCCTAGAACCCCTTTTGCTTAGGAAATAAGGGTTTTAGAGCTCTATGCCAGGAATTAGGGATGAAGACCAAAATATATATATTTTAATTATAAATAATAATATCACAGACTACTTTTAAAATACAAAACAGGCATAACAAATATTTGTCTAAAAGAATCCCTATACGTCCTTAAAGTTTTCCATCCCTTACCCACTAAAACTCGGGTCTTGAAAATGACAGTCAATTTGGATCCCCTTTCTTAACTCCTAAGTTCTCTTAATTACTTCATATTTGGGTAGTGCTTTTAACTTCCCAGAACACTTAGACATACCTGCTGCAGTGATCCAGTTAGGTTGTTTAGTTTTCTCTATGGAGAGCTAACAATTGGCACAGGAACATTGTAGATATACACTTCTTGTATCCCATAGTCACCATTTTGAAGCTCTGGGTTAACTGCAAAGGTCTGCGAATATGATTCCTGGAGAGAATGTCATACCACAGGAAAGCATCCTCTGAAAATCTAGCTTTGGAGGCATAAGTTGGGATTGCCTTCTGAACTTTGCATACATACTCATTAATTATTCTCTCTCTGAAGCAGCTTGTAACTGTAGTCTTTGTAAGGAGCAAAGATCAGCTTGAAACTATTTTGATTTACTTGTTTATTGATCTTGACCAAGAATTCCTTTATTTGAAACTCTTCCCTTAGGAAGTCAATTTGATAACCTTTGCCCATTTATTTTGAAGGTGTCAATTTTAAGTAGTCTTGCCATCAAGGAATGGAGGAGCTAAAATTAGTAATAAATTAATTAGAATGTACTTATAAACCCAGTGGAAAGCCAAGAATGAAGTTGCTTTTCTATTGATTATTATACTGGTCATTAACTGCTGAGAAAAATGCCAGTGTAGCAAGCAGAGAACATTGGCCATTTCCTTTGGTAATTGTAGGATTCCGTCATTAAGATTTCAATATTCTGGAAAGTAATTACTCATTCACTCCAACTATTCACAGTGTGTGGACAAAGAATTTTGGCATTTTGGGATAAGACTAATGATTTAAGCAGACATTAACTCCCATATAAGATTCTCTCTTGTCACTCAGTGCTGCTTTAAGTCATGTGTGGTCTGCATTTATACTTATAACCAATATTCTTAGATATTAATATGCCGGTCTACACAGATTTGTATCAAAGTGCTTGAATATTGTGGTAGGGAAACCCTTGGAGAAAACCTTCTACCTAGGGTCTCTAATGGCAGCATGCCATATACAGCAGTGTTTTATTTTCATAAGAAGCAAGTAAAATTAGCAGATTATAGCCACTGCTTTTCAGTGAGTGAAAAATGCTCCATGGTTTTTTCCCTTTCAAGAGTCAGCTGTCTGTCAGCCACGCTGAAGAATAGGTAGTAGCTGTAAATTATTAGTCAAAGATTCCTGGCTATCAATATCCCAAGTGAAATAAAAGAGCATTATGGTGACATGACATGGCACCACAGAACACTAATTTCTACTCTAAGAGAGATAATAAAAAGTGTCAGAACTCAGATACCAATAATGCCACCATCTCCACTGCAGTCTCTCCCTGATTGTATGTGTACATCTGTAAATCAAGGAAAGGTCCTTGTAGTCTTTCTCTATCATGGAATGAGTTTTGCTGGGTCCAGGAGATTTCCACCAGCAGCAGAAGCTGAAGACAATTGTACTAATAATGCCTGGCATCCTGGCATTGTAACTGACCATTCTTGGTCTTTTCATGTCTTATAACTTGAATCTGAAGCACCATAAAATGGTCCTGCACAAATCAAGGGCGTGGCCCTAGTTGTAAGGATTGTTATTCCCATTTTCTTCAATTCAAAAACCAAGGCCCAGAGAAGAACTAGGTTATTTTATTAATGTTACAGAGTTAGTAATGTATGCTGGAAATTGCTAATATATTTCAAGTGTTCTCCCCCCAACACAAAAAAACAAAAAGCAAAAACTAAATGAGAAGATGGATGTGTTAATTTGCTTCAGTGTAGTAATCATTTCACTGTGTTATATGTATATTAGAACATGATGTTGTATATTTTAAATATACAGTTGTTCCTTAGTATATGCAGGGAATCAGTTCCAGGAATCTCAAATATACAAAACTTTGTTCATACTCAGTTCATTCAGTTGGCCCTGCAGAGCCCATGTATGTGAAAATTTGACCTTCTGGTGCTTTACATTTTGAGAATAAAAATCCACCTATAAGTGGGCCTTCGAAGTTCAAACCCATGTTGTTCAAGAGTCAAGTGTATACAATTTTTAGTTTCAATAAATGTTACAAAGTTAGTTAAGGATCAAATAAAAATTGAGTGATTCCAGTCTGATATTCTTTCCACTAAATCTTTTGGAAATAATAGAGAGGATACTGATTCAATAAAAATTTCACTTTACCATGTCAGAAAAAGGACAAAAGAGGACAAAAGGATTAATACTGTTGTCTAGACTCTCTTTGCATAGAAGAGAATGGTGATAATTAGTGGTTAACTACTAAAAATGTATAATAAAAATAATGAATCAAAGCTGTATCTATGAAGCTGTGCCAGTCTGTAACTTTTAATCATTGACGGCAACTTTTGTTATTATTCTATTGAAATGAGACCAACAGATACAAATTACTATGTTCTTTACTAGAATATAAGTCCTTTACAACAGGGACTAACCCCTAAAAGTTAAAGGTCAAGGATGCCACATCAGCCCCTCCTGCCTATAGCAGGAGAAAAAAAAAAAATGACTGTACTTACTTTCCCTTCTCTTGTGCCTACTAGCCTGAAGAACTTAATTTATAGATTCTCAAGAGATACTCAGGTATGATTGTTTTCTTCTTTATTTAGTTGTCTGTTTTGATGCCAAGATAAACTTTGATGACAACGCAGAATTCCGACAAAAAGACATATTTGCTATGGACGACAAATCAGAGAATGAGCCCATTGAAAATGAAGCTGCCAAATATGATCTGAAATACATAGGACTAGATGGGAACATTGCCTGCTTTGGTAAGAAGCAGTTATATCAAAAGAATGCTTTGTGGATTTTTATAGAATTTAGGAACTCTTGATTTCTGAAATGTCATTTACCAAGAAGTAAGCATAGAAGTTTGGTTTTTTTGTTTTTTTTTCCTGTGGCTGAAAAGTCTTAGGAAACAATCCAAGTGTCTTCTCAAAGTTTGTTTTGATTAATGGTCACTGGTTTAAAGCAGAATTTCTCAACTATGGCACTACTGAGAGTTTGGGTGGGATAATTCTTTGCTATCTTGTACATCATAAAATGTTTAGCATCCTAACCTCTAGATACTACTAACAACCCCCAGCTGTGACAACAAACACATATCAGTTAATAAATTAAAATAAAAGTCTTCAGACATTTCCAAATGGCCATGGGATGCAAAAATCACCCCAGTTGAGAACTACTGACTTAAAGCATCTCAGTTAAACTTTACTTAGTAAAAAGTTAGAACCTTTGCTGCTCAACTCGGTATTAATATTCTGGGAACTCTTCTGAAATTCATGTTTAAAACAAAAACAAAATTCCTTTGTCTGAGGAAATAGAAGAGGACATATACTTTAATCACTTTACTAAAGTTCCAGATTCTGTGATAACCAAAGGATAAATGTTTAATCCATTATGCCAGTTTATTAGTAAAACAATTGATTTCATCGCACTCATCTAAATTTGTGAAAATGGCTTCTTCAGCTGAGATAAGAATGAGTCTATAGAGGCAATACAATTTCTGTTATTGTTCACAGCTTATAGTGCTCAGATTTATATGCTTCTGACTTAATTGCACAAGACTGTGTTTCTGTTAGAACCAATTCATTGTACTGGAAACTGAGGTCTTAATCTTAATGGAATTAAAATAAAAATGATTTGTAGCTCATTAAACCAACACTATCATTATATTCAGAACTGAAGAGACCTCATCCAAGAGTTTGTTGTTCAATACAATAGAAAATGACATCCAATTACAAGTGATACCAAAAGCTCTTGCTTTGTTTTGGAGCAATAACTATAATGCATCGGATCACTCACATCGTTCTGATCCTGAGAAGCTAATGCACTCTCAGTGTTTGTAGGCATTTAGAAAGGGGAAAGGTATAATGACGGGTTTAAAACAAATTAAATACAGATTATTTATAACCTCTGTAGGAATGTGCATGGTTTGACCATGTCGCAGCCTAAAAATCTATGATTTATACATTTCAAATTGTTTTCAGATTCTGTATAAACTATTTTTATTTTAGTTACGCCATACTTAATTAGTCACAGTTCATAGGCTTTTCTAGGGAATTGGAGGGTCAGAAAAATGAAGGACACTTTACCTCATGCGTTTCTGCTGTGTTCAGGAGATTTTTTTTCTAATCTGAGGAAAGTAATTTCATATAATTAAGCTTAAGGAGCAAAAGAAGTGCAATTGATCAATAAAACTTAGCTCTGGAAAACAAGAATTTTGATATTAAAACTCTTTACCTACACTTTCTTAAGAAAGGCTCCTAAGATGTTGGCACATTTTGGTTCCAGTTTTAATAATTGGGTTGCTGGTAAGCATTGCTTATGTTAATTTGAAAGAGGAACAAGGGGATAAGGGGATAGGAATATTGTTTTTGGGCTGTCATTTGTTCATTTATTCCTAAGTTTATCCAGGTAACATTATATAAACACGCATGACTGTACTAAGTGTAAAAAAACTATAAAACCCCACTGAAGTTGGGGCCTCTGTGTTCAATCCTAGAGATGCCACATTGAAAGGAGCATATTCTCAGCAAGCAAAACATTAAGAGAATTCCTGTCTCTTAAAGTATATTAAAAAGAATGTAATTCATAGATCCTAGAAACTTATCGTAGTTTGTTTCTCTGCCTCCTGTTTCTCTGCCTCCATAACCTAAAACTCCCTCCTTTACTACTGGTCCAAATCAGTTACTTACTTAAACCCTTTCTTCTGTTTCCCAGATTGTTTTAACTTCTCAGTAAATCCTCTTTCTCATTCCCAAGTCTTTTTTGTTTCATTGTTTGCATATACACGTCCTGATTCTTTATCCGAAAAGTCTATGAACTTATCTGGTTGAATGGAATTCCAAACAGGACAGAAATTGGCCTGGCAATGACAGGGTTCTCTCTTGGCAATATGGAAGAGGGAAAATGTTTATGGACCATTTCATATTGCTAAATGTAGCCTGTATTGTGTCCCATTTGCATTTCACAGTGAATGGTGCTGGGCTCGCCATGGCTACTTGTGATATCATTTTCCTGAATGGTGGGAAGCCAGCCAACTTCTTGGATCTTGGAGGTGGTGTAAAGGAAGCTCAAGTATATCAAGCATTCAAATTGCTCACAGCTGATCCTAAGGTAACCTTTCTCTTTGTAGGGAGATTGTATGCTGGTTTCATTTCTCATCATCAGGAGCTCACTTGTTCCTCCTGCTAAGAGTTAGTAAGTCAATATGTCTACTTTGCAGCACCAGATGCAACATCTACTTTATATCGCATTGGAATACTTGATGATTTAACTCTAGTCCTGAGTGAAAGGTTTATAAACAGCTCCTGGGATCCTATTTCAGAGGTTGTATGTACAGTCCTGAGAGGTGGAAAGAAATAAAAATGATACAATGTGCCAGTCGAAACATTGGTTGGTATTAACTTTATTTAGGTAATTTACACAGAAGTGACTGGTCCTATGCTTACATGATTTAGAGGGAAGTCCTACTATGATTCCTTCCATAAAGATGCTGAAGTTATTACCAAATATTGGAAAAGTTTGGGGTTATAGGATCATATATCGCTGAGAAATAATAGCCTCACCTTCTTTTGTATGCTTTCTAATTTTCGTCTCTGACCATTAGTTTGTAACACATGCACTAAGCAGCAAATAACTGTACCTGGTTTCATAGTTTCTGTTTCTGCTTCATGTGACTTGACCATAGCTAGCTAGAATGCAGCTACCATACCCATGCTAGGAGTAGTACGGGCATTCAATTAATATTTAATCAGTTAGTTTAGTAACCAAGCTAAATATCAGCTTGCTTTGTTTCACCTGTAGGTACTCAGTTGACTATAATATGGTTTTAGGTAGATGCTTATTTCATAGAAAGATAAAAATATTTCAAAAGTCTAATGTATGTGGTTTTTACTTCATTCTTTTAACAGGCCTGAGAAGTAGGTATATGCCCCAACAATTTGATAGAAAAGTTTGTCTTTAATTTTTTGATTTTTTTTTTTTTTAGAGACAGGGTCTCATTCTGTCACCCAGGCTGGAGTGTAGTGGTGTCAACATAGCTCACTATAGCCTTGATCTCCTGGGACCAAGCTATCCTTCCCCCACCTCTTGAGTAGCTGGGACTATAGGTGCATGCCACCATGCTTGGCTATTTTTTTAATTTTTTGTCTTACCATGTTGCTCAGGTTGGTCTCAAACGCCTGGCCTCAAGTGATCCTCCTACCTCAGGTTCTCAGAGCTCTGGGATTACAAGCATGAGCCATCACAATGGGCCTAAACTTTGAGAATAATTGTCTCAATATTGTTACAGTATCTAATAAATCGAGTTGGTTACTATAATATCTGAAGATTGGAAAATCTGAATAGTTACTAAGAAAACCATAAATGAAAATAATACCAGATTTTTAAAAAAAGAAATGTGTTCTGAATTAAATATGGAAGCTTCCCATTAATAAACTGGCAATAGCCTGTTTTGTTTTGCATATATAAAATTTTGTCTTATGTTGGTTGTACACTTGTGTTTTTCTCATGACTTAGATAGTTGGTGACCTCGTGTTTTTGGTTATGCCTTTCTTCTGACTCATTAAATAGACAGCAAGGTATTTATTAGCACTTATCTTCAATTCTCCAGTGCTGTTGGAATAGCAAAGTTATTGAAGTTCAAAGGCAGCCAGCCACGAGGAAAGCATTTGCAAAACGAACGATGTTTCCACTTACATAAGCACTTTGTTTTCATTGGTTAGGTAGAAACACCTTATCAGTGGCTCTCTAATCATCTATTAATTCACTTATTCTTTCTTCCTATTACTTTCTACGGGAAGAATCATTTTCCTCCCAGAGATTTTCAAACCAGTTGAAATCTATGAATACCATGACACAAAGCTCCTTAAAGCTGCTTGAACCACAAAGTACCCAGAGGACAGATGACTGTAATAAAATACTGAACTTTTGGCATCTACTAAAACTCAGTGCAAAGAATAATAGAGAGCCATTTAGAGATTAAATCTACAAGGACAATCACTGAATGTTCATTGAAATGGCTTTTCTTAGTGGCTTACCTCAAATTTTAATTTTGTAAAACTATAGGGTTGGGTGGGAGAGTGGAAAAATTGCTGCAAGAGCCATTTAAAAAAAAAAGGCTCTTTTCTAAAATTTTGACTTTATGGAATATTTTCAAATGCTTGGATTATTTCAACTTTTTTGAGATTAGCTGTCATCTTGGGTAGATAAAGGTATGTGGGAGTTATTTTATTTTTCTCATGCTATATCAGGAAAATGAATGCACAGCTCATCTCACAGTACTTTTTCCAAATCTTGAAATTTCAAAACCGGTTAAAAAGCATAGAAATATAATGAGTATTTTCAATTTTGGCTTCATTTCACAAAATTTAGAGAACAGAACCTAAAAAATAGTATAGATGAGTTGATGTGATTTTGCGAGGAAACTGGCTGTAGTTTTGGCAGTAATTATTTTATGTAGAACCCTGTACACCTGCCCAAAAGTAGAGGTTCCTGAGAGCCCGATGCTAATTATTTCAAAGATATTGATTATCTTGTTAGATATAAGGATTAGTTAGTTAAATACACAGAAAGTCAGAATTATGAAACACCTGTTTTCGTTAAACCCTTTTCAATTGATATTAACAACTACTTATTTGCAGTATTTCTAAGATAATTCTGTTGATTAGTAAACACAGTGTCATTCAATAAAGATATTACAGGTCGACATATATTTCCACTCCTAATGTCAGCCATAGAGCTGAAAATTTATCTTATTTTGCTTGATTGTTAAATGCTGATTTTCACTTGGACCTAAGTTGTAAAGATACATAAGTATCTCTACAACTAATGTGTTTCTTATTATTTTATCATATATATGAAATGAATTTCCTCTACCAAGCCAACTAAAATAAGAATCTTTTCAAGATAACTCACTTACTAAACTGAATTCATATGAAGTGTATCATTAAATATTTTATAATTCTCTTATTTTCCTGCTGAGCTTGAGATGAGAGAAAAAGAGTTTGTTCTGCTCGTGGTCTTCATCATTTTGATTTAAAGAATTCTAAGCATTAGTATTCTTTAAATCATAAGGAGTAAAAATGATACAAAATAGAAAACAGAAGTAGAGTTTTGTGGTTTTCTTTTAAGAATCTGAAGACGTTTAAAAGAAAAGCACTATATAGAATGTTATCCTTGGGTTTTTATTTTCCAAATTATGTTCTGGTTCCTATTTTAATGAATTTAGAATTCCAAAGGTGTAGCAAATGTAACATCTGGAACATGTTGTGTTCACTTACACAAAACACCATGTATTCACTTACATGAAACATCTTGTGAAGTGTATACGAGGAAGGGATACTTGGCACAAATCTCCCCAATGACCCCCAATTCTGTTAAGCAAATCTTTTGCTCTCTGGAGGCCTGATTTTGGAAAGCCAAAGTACATGATTGGCATTAGTAAAAGCAGCTCATCGTATTTGATTGTACTTCCTGGTTTAGATCCAACTTTGAGTCATATTTTCAGAGTCCTTGAAATATCCATGAAGAAATGTGCTGCCTAAGCATCAAGGACGAGTTGAAGAATGGAAGGGACTCTTAGTGGAGTTCTCATGCCAGGCTGCCTGGGTTCCAATCTTGTCTCTACCACTTACTGGTTGTGGGCCCTTGGGCACATTATTTAACTTCTGTGCACCTTGGCATCCTCATTTATAAAGTGGTGATAATAGCAGTACTTACCTCAGAGGGTTGCTTTATTACACACATTGAGACACACATGCACACTTTCCATTTAGAGGGAAAGTAATTTCATATTTTGAGATTAGCTGTCATCTTAGGAAGCTAAAGGTATGTGGGAGTTATTTTGTTTTTCATAATACAATTTTAATTTCACTTAAAGAATTTAATAAACTTTTATTAAAGTATAATCTAGATATAGTATACAAATTTTAAGTATACAGCTTGGTGAATTATTAAAGTAAACATATCATCTAACCTCTAACCAGATGAAGAAATAGACCATGACAGGTATCCTGGAAGCCTCCTCATGCAGTCCCCATCATTTTCCTATCCTGATTTCTCCCTAAAGGTAATTTCTTTTTTGAGACCGAGTCTTGCTTTGTTGCCCAGACTGGAGTGCAGTAGTACAAGGGTAGCTGCAACCTTCACTTCCCAGTTTCAATTAATTCTTCTGACTTAGCCTCCTGCGTAGCTGAGACTAAAGGCAAGTGCCACCATGCCCAGCTAATTTTTGTATTTTTAGTAGAAATGGGGTTTTACCTTGCTGCCCAGGCAAGGGGTCCTCCCACCTTGGCCTCCCAAAGTACAGGGCTTACAGGCAGCAGCCACTGTCCCCAGCCCCCAAAGTTAATTTCTAATATCACAGATTTGTTTTGCCTATTTTTAAACTTAATGTCATTGGAATTATATACTATATTCTCTTTTATATTTGCTATCTGTGGTTAGTCTTTTCAATTTTAGTCATTCAGGTAAGTATGAGGTATTATCTCACTGTGGCCTTTCTCTCATTTTCTTATTTTCTAATGAGGTAGAGCACCTTTTCATGTATGTATAGGCCATTTGAATACACTTCTTTAAACTTCTATTGCCTCATCTGTAGACATGAAAATAATACCCTAAAGCATAGTTTTAAGTACCACTTGCACATCTTTCTAAAGCACAGTGAAAACTTTAGTTTGTTTTTTTTTTTTATATTTTCTGAGTGTTTCATTCCATGATCAGTTCCAAAACAGATTTAGAATAAATGCACATCTACAGAAATGGGAAGTGTCTGATACAGGTTCAGTGATAATCAGTGTTACTGCATGTGTTGTTTTGAAATTGATGGAAGGCGTAAGTGACTCAGTAGCTTACAGTGATTCTCTGCTCAGACAACCAAGGAAACCATTTAATAAAGGGAGGATTACATTCATGTTTGAAAGAACAACAAAATATCATTTGTTATAAACTTGAGAAGAGGCCAGCCGTTTTGGTGCTCTATGGTATATGCTTCAGAAACTTTAGAATATGAAGCCAGAGAAGTAAAACTGCCTGCGATATTTTCAGTATCAGGTATATGCAAATGCTTAACATTTTAATAAATATATTTTAGGATTCATTTGTGCTGTCTTATA